AACATTTATTGCATGTTTTTTATATTATCAAATTACTTATCAAATATATGTTCGGCAACACTAGTGTCGACAGCACTCAACGGGTCGTCCATTAATACGATGTCTGAGTTTCGGTACAGAGCTCTACATTAGGACACATAGTAATAATTTTATAAATAATAATTATTTATTAACTTTGTTAATTTAATTGAATTATCTGTTTTGTATAATCATAGTTTATTTGGAAAAACGACAACTTTTAATTTCTTTAAGCTAAACACTGATTGCAGTGAAATAATAATTTGATTTTATATTTATTCATAACTATAACATTGAATTCAACTATTGAATTAACCAATTAAAAATCTAACTATTGTTATGATTAAATCTAATGAAAAAGTTAATCTGGAAGTTAAAAAATCATATTGCAATAAGTGCCAAGGTAATTTTGTTTACTACTGTAGGAATTCTGTGGTCTAGTCGAATTTTTAAAATTCATTTCTATTAGATTAAACTGTAATTTTATATTAATTTGTTAGATTAATAAGGATTTCAGTAAGGTTATGTTTAAAATGGACTAAAAGGGACTTGATTGATTACATTATAAATTATATTAATTTATATATAATATTTTTTAACTTATTTTGTTGTAGTTAAATAAGAATCAAATATTATATTATTAATTATAAAATTTATTGGTAAAATAAATTTATGATAATATATTTATTTTACCATTATAGTTAAAGTATGTTAATATATTTTAAAAATTGTAAGTTTGTATTAAAGTGGGGTAAATATTAAACTATATTTAAGATGATTAATTTAAATGGAGAAATATCACTGACTTAATATATGATATTTTTTATTTATAAGAAAAATTTATTTTATGATTTTAATAATAGATATAGTAGCTAATGTATATACAATAAATTGTAAACAAACCTGGCTAACGTGATGCGGGCCTTCTGTCCCCCCGATAGCGATACCCCTCTCTCACCGACTAATGTCTTGTCTCCGAACGGAAATAATTGGAAATCTCGCTCCAAAGCGGACACCTCTACCACTCGCTTATATCGGGATTCGTTATATTCGGTACCAAAGAGTATATTATTTCGGACACTATTATTGAAACTCCAGGGCTCCTGAGAGGCATAGCTTATCGATCCAACCGTTTCCACACTCCCCGACAGCACCGGCAGCTCTTTCAAAATTGTCATCAATAATGAGCTCTAAATATACAATTAATTATAAGTAATATAATTACAATTAAATATATCTATAGATAGCAAATACCTTTCCAGCGCCTACGGGCCCGATCACAGCCAACAGGTCTCCGGGTCTCAAATGAACGGATATATTCTGGAGGTTTGGGTGCGGACTGTCCTGCAATGGGATAGACATTGAATTGTTAATAAAGGTAAATATTATTTAACAATTTTCACGTTATAAATATTCATACATCACTCCATTTGGCGGTAATGCTATTGATATTCAATTCTGGCGATTGTTTTGCTCGTAATTGCATATCCTTTTCATTCAATTTCAATGATTTTAAATCCATTTCTTCCAACTCGAGGTAAGTCTTTGGGAAACACAACACAAAATTATATAATAAATATTTAATTAAATTATAATATCTATATCACAATAAGTAAACTAAATAAGTAATTTGATAATATAAAAAACATGCAATAAATGTTTTAAAACTTTGTCTTAATTAAACCATACATTAACAGGGATTATATTAAAAGCTAATAAACCATATTGAGCAAACTTTACAGCTTGTTCAAACTAACCTGTATGCGGCGACATGAGACCAATAGCTCGGCACCAAGGGCAATTGCCTGCGGGAACAGCCACGTCATTGTGATCCGCAATGTGTTAAACAAAGCCATCGTTACGAACACCGCTTTGGCGGTCAACACATTACCCGTCAGTACGTATGTTATAAAACACGCGAATAGTATTATACGTGAGGCCACAAAAAACACCGACAAATTAATCGCTTTTAGAAAACAGGCCATTCGTATTCGACGTACCTCGCTCCTATTAGAAAATTATCATGGTTAAACCAGTTATCAAATTCATGTTCAACCAAATTACTGGTGTTTTTGTAACAGTTATTATATAAATAATTGTATAAAATTCTTGTTACAGTTTTCAACTAATTTATAATTTTGTTTGAATTGTAATAATGACCATGTTATTTGTTTAACAAGTGATAATAAAGTGATTGTATGGCACTTACTTTCGTGCCTCAGCCACGAGATCGGCGAACGACTGTTCCCAGGAATACATTTTAATTACACGCATACCGGAAATGATCTCGCTCATTAGCCTAAGTCGGTTATCCGTTAACTGCGCGGTCATTAATCTGTGTATTTAATAATTAACCAATTAAAATGTTTATTGTTTTTAAAATGACTAAGTTCTAAAACAAATAATAAAATTTTATTAATCAATTTGTAGCTAGATAATTTTTCAGCCAACCTGACTTTTGAAAACTGTTTGCCCATAAATGATTGAAACGGTATGAATAGTAGCAACAGTACAACGCCCACAAAACACCAGTAACTCAAATGGATGTACATTATATACACGGTTATAGCCGTCTGTATGGGCGCTATGAAGAAATAACTGACAAATATGGAAAACTACACAAGGGCAAAAATTTATTTAAAAAAATTAAATATTTAAATATAACATAGATCGAAATAAATATACCTCGTCAAATCTATTTACATCGTTGGACATTAAGTTCACAATTTGACCGACTGTTGTCTTGCCCATCGACGCGCGGCTCAGTTTCAGTGACTAAATAAATTAATAATTATTTTATTTATCATAAGGTAATAATAACAATAAAATTACTTTTTTATACATCAATGTACAACACGAGCTCCTTAGTCTCATACCCATACGCATAACCAGCACGAGGTTCGGGTGATGTAATGTAATGAATAGGGCGGAGCAAAAACACACACCACCGGCGGCCAGACATGCCTGAAGATACGTTACTCCCCCGGTATTACTGAAAAAGTCAATCACAAACCCTAATAGCAATGGTTGTCCGATACGTATCACACACTCCTGAATATAAAATGTAATAACACAGTTTGTATTAACAAATCTAGATCAAACATGAGAATCACCAACCTCAAATATAAATACAGTAAGCGGTAATATATAATATGAGGCGTACGTGCGGAACAGCGCCCTCCAGAATCGAGGTGTCTGTTTCTCGCGCTCCAGATTCCAGTTTCTATATGACAATTAAGAAATATAATCATGGTGTTAATTGTTGACATGCATTGTTTATACATAATGACAATTATGAACTTCAATAATAGCCTAACACCGCCCGTTCCTATACATACCTTTCCAATCGTTGGACAATGCGCTGCGACTCGTCATGTCGTGAACACCGGAACATATCGTCCGCATCTAGGCCATTTTTTCGTACCCCCGTCCAAAATACGGGAAATACCCATCTGTTTTATGTATGGAAATATTAGCATCATTTTTATTTATAAATTTTTATGTCATATTAATTGTAAAATTAATTACACATTTTTATTGTATTTAAGTAGCCCTAATCACATTACAATTTCTGTGGTTGTAATAAATTAATATGAAATAAATAATATATTAATTGTTACAAATACAGAATCTTGTAGAATCTTAATGTTTACAGATTAATTTGTGCTTAAAATATGTATTTATAAAACCTATTATTACCGATAATAAGTTATTAATTAGATAATCCATCATAGTATTTTGATTGTTAACTATGATAAAATATTTTATTTAAAATGCATAAATATGCACATGCATTTGCACATGCACATGCATTTAATGTGAATACCCATATAAGTTAATATCATAAGTATTGACAGTAAAAGTCAATGCATTTATAGATTACAAATTATTGCTCTCATAAAGTATAATAATAAAATTGCATGATTTCGTACTCAAAACGTCCTCAAAACAAAACTATTAATTTGATTTTATAAACGGAAACCACTTTTTAAAAATGTTTATTTAGTAATTCATAATATTTACCAAAATGTGTTTATCCATCGCTTATCTAATGGTAAGGCATATGTTTTTCTAAGTAAAACTACTAATGAACTCAAAAATGCAAATTAATAAAAATGTTTAGATTTTCTGGCACTTTGTTGTAATGCTTTAATAGTCTTATTAAAACTAGTTTATTTATTACCATCATTTAACTTATCACCATTGAAAATCTTAATTGCGTTATTTACTTGTTAAATTATAAAAATAAGTATACAGTATACTCAAAATCATTATTTGTTTATTTAAACGCAGCAAGTGCATTTATTTGAGTTCATTTTAAATTTTCCAGAAGTGCATTATTTGTACATGATCAAGTAATTTATTTAATTAGAAATTCAAGCACAATAAAATTCTTACATGATGGAAAGCAATTTATAAAAATTAATATAAATAATAATTTATAACATTATTATAAATACTTTATTTAATTTTTTAATAGTATTTTATTTAAAGTTATTTTTATAACTATTATACAACTGTTATACAAATATTATAATAACATGGTTAAATAAAATACATTAACAATAATTTAAAGCTTGCGATTTATTAATTAATATAAATTTAGATATTATTAGCATACTTTATAAATTATTAAGTTTTACGTTGCATTTAACGGGAAAAATATATATATATTTTTAAGCCCAATAAAATTTTAAAAGTATGAACAGTTAAACTTCCAACCATTTAGTAAATAAATATATTTATTACAAATTAAAAACAAATCTACATAGTTTTAATTACAGTTTGCTGTAATTTACTCTTCTCTCTCTCCATTTGGTAAACCTCCTGATGTAAACTTGATAAGTTTTTTATTATTTAAGCTTTTTCATATAAGTGATTTTATTAGTTTATATGTTATTTGATCAATGATAGTCGTGTTAGT